GGCTGTGGAACCTGACATTCTGTTAAGAATCCTCCTTCTCTATCTGTGCACCTCTCTCTCTCCGAGATGAGCGATGAAGAGGAGAAACAGGTCCCCCCTGGGGAGGAAGACCAGATCCCCCCTGGGGGGGGGATCCCGGTTCCCACCACGTCTGGAGGGGAGACTCCTATGACCCAGGAGAAAGGCACCGGTGACTACTACACCTCCGGTGACCATCGCTGGGAAGGGAGCAGTCCCAAAGACGACGTCGACCCATTTGTTCCTGACCCCTACGGGGCTGAGGTAACCGCCCGGCCAGGGGTACTGCCTGAGCTCCAGGTGGAGCCAATTCAACCTGGACTCCATGGCAGAGACTTATATGCTCACGCAGGGCCCCCAGAGAGACAGCAGGTTTGACCTGTGTTTTGCCTCGGCTGGAGGTTTCCCCCCCTTTGGGGCTCCCTTCGAACCACCGCCAGGAGCGTGGGTGACGGGGAGGTTGAAGGCAAGAAATGGGCACGTGTCCCCGGACGAGGGACTGGAACTGGCCCATAGAATGGAGGTGGCGGATCGGGAGAGGCGTCAACTGCAACCGGAGTTGGAGGATGTCATCCACGCGATCCCGCAGCTGGTGGTCCAAGCCATCTGAGCAGGGAGGGAAGCCCAACCGGTGGCACCGGTACTCCCTGCTGCCCCACCGGCGCCTCAGCCGCTGCCCAGACCGGTGGATGTACCCGTGACGGGACCAGGGGAGGCCCTGGCTCCAGCGCCATGACCAGGCAGCCTGAGAGGCCCGGTGCTACATCGCCCGAAAGACCTGATCGAGGCCACGTTCAACGGAAACCCTGAGGAACTATCCTACTTTGTAGTCCGAGTGATGAAGTTTGTGGAAAGATCAGGCCACCTGTTCCCGGATGACAGCAGCCAAGTGGATGTGGTGGCTGCCTGCTTGTGGGGAGCCGCGGCGGCTTGGTATGTGGGATTGCACAATGCCAGGGGCCCGGAGCTGGTGAATTTGGACGCTTTTATGTGGGCATTGTGTGCCAAATTCGAGGACTGGAACGCCGGGCCCAAAGCAAGAGCGTTCCTACGCACCCTGAAGCAAGGGAGGAGATCGGTGAGAGAATACTACGAGTTTAAGTTGCATGCAGCAAAGGTCCAAACTTGGCCAGATCTGGTGCTAGCTGAGTTGTACTGGGTAGGACTGAACCCCGAGATCCGGGAAATGGTCCTACGTGCGGTGGACCCAATCTCTTTACCGGCCTGGATGCAGGAGGCGGAGAGTGCGGAGACCCGCCTAAACACGCTGCGCCTGGACAGCGCAACAGCGGGAAGCAAGCCTAACCCCCCGGCACAGAAAATGAAACCAGCGAGGTTGGCTGAGTCTACTCGGGAGCAACGCAAGCGACAAGGGCTATGCCTAAAGTGTGGGGAGTGGGGCCACTTCATGGCCAACTGTGGTGGATCGGGTCCTGGGAAGCAAGGGCCAAGCGATCCCAGGGAAACCGAAATTTGCCAAAGCACTGCAGGCAGCCCCTGAGGAATTGGGAGAGGACTCCAGCGAGGAAGACCCCGCGACGGCGGGAAACGGCCAGGTCCTGCTGTGAAAGGCGCAGGACAGCAGGGCCCGATCCCGGAGGCGCCGAAAGTGGTGAGCAGCTTTCCCCCCTTGTTTTTTTGTGACTGTGACTCTGGTTTACCCAGCCCTTGGGACCCACATCCGTGTACGAGCACTCATTGACTCGGGGTGTGGGAGGGACCTCATCAACCCTTCCGTAGTTACGGGGCTGGAGGCAGGGGTGGTGAAGCTGAAAGACCCGTTAATTTTTACCCAAATGGATGGGTCCACTATGAAGGAACCGTGCGAATACGAGACTGTGCCTTTGCGAGTTGGGGCGAGAGATCACTGGGAGGAAAGATCCTTCGTGATCACTCCAGCTGCCAAATTCCCTCTAGTGTTGGGGGGCCCTTGGCTGCATGGGCACAATCCATACATTCTGTGGGATGAAGGGAAGGTGCAATTCATCTCACCGCGGTGTCAAGGGCACCAGTGGAACCCACAGTGGGGCCAGCAGCCAGTAGTGGAACACCCTAGGGTGTGTTTGGCTCAGGAGGAGTTACAATCCATTCCCCCCAAGTACCGGGACTTAGCCAGGGTGTTTGAAGAAGAAGAAGCCAATGAGTTACACCCCCCCCCCATAGACACTCGGATTGCAGTATCAAAATATTGCCTGGCCAAAAACTGCCCAAGGGACGCATTTATGCAATGGGATGGGCCAAAAAAGACGAACTGCGCAAATTTATCGATAAAAACCTGGCCAAGGGTTTCATCAGGCCGGCCTCCTCCCCTTTTGTGGCCCCGGTTCTCTTCCGGAAGAAGAAAGACGGGGGGGGGGGGGGTTTTTTTTGGGTGGAGACTGTGCACGGATTACCAGGGCTTGAATGCGGTTTCTTCGAAAAATGCTTACCCAATGCCCCTGATCAAGGATTTATTTGCCGAGGCGGCCAAAGGGAAAATATTTTCAAAGTTGGATCTTCGTGATGCTAACTTTAGAGTCCAGAATTTTAGAAATCTCATAATGTTCCTCGGCCTCGATTAAAATAGGAGGGGGCACCGGTTTCGATGGACGCCATGGACTGGAACCAGAATCTCGTTTCAGGAGGCTGAAATGAAATACAGAATGTAGTTTCCTCAAGTTCTTAGGCAGATCTAAGTCCACAGCCACATCACTGATCACTTTTTTCACTTTGAAAGGACCAAGGTATTTAAGAACATAAGAACATAAGAGACGCCAATGTTGGATCAGGCCAAAGGCCCATCCAGTCCAACACTGTGTCACACAGTGGCCAGAAGTACCAGTGCCATCAGGAGGTCCACCAGTGGGGCCAGGACATTAGAAGCCCTCCCACTGTTGCCCCCCCCCAAGCACCAAGAAGACAGAGCATCACTTGCCCCAGAGTCCCTATCTATACCTTGTGGCTTATAGCCACTGATGGACCTCTGCTCCATATGCTATCTAATTCCCTTTTGAAGCCGTCCATGCTTGTAGCCGCCACCACCTCCTGTGGCAGTGAATTCCAAGTGTTAATCACTCTTTGGGTGAAGAAGTACTTCCTCTTATCCGTTCTAACCCGACCGCTCAGCAATTTCCAACCAAGTTTTCGGCTAGGGCGCAAAACCTGAATGTTTTTTGTAGACACATAGACAGAGGCCCCAGGCGGCAGAGCCCATCCCTCCACCCTTCTCTTGTCAGCCTGACCCTTGTACGCCTCCTTGGCAGCATTAAAAGACTTTTTTAACTGTTTACACCATTGCACAGCATCCCCCCTTCCCCCCCCACTTCATTCCGTTTACCTCCCTCCCCACGGCTAAGGCACTGGCCAAAGCGTTTCTCCAGCATGTCGCACGGTTGCACATGCTCCCGGCCAAGGTGGTCTCCGAATGGGGGACCCAATTCGTTTCCCAGTTTTGGGGGGAGCTGATGATGCGTCTTTGCCCTGCCAATCTTTCCCAGGAACTCGGGGAAGTATTTCTAACGTTCCCATCCTTTCTGAGTGCCCCCCTGCAGTCAGAATATAGACTAAAAATTTTCCGGGCAGGATTTCCTCTTTGTCATGGCCTTGAAAGAGGACAGGGCACAGGCAGAGCCAAGTGCCAGGTGGCATCAGTGGTCTTGCTCTGATTGCTGTATGGCCCAAAGGCTGAGCACAGCTTAACCTCCTGAATCAGAAACGATGGCTCACCCGGGGAAGCTGCTCATGCTCCTAAGGAACAGAGGCTTCGATCACTCTGCTGTGGGCTGTCATCCTGTACTGGTGTGTGTGTGTGTGTGTGTGTGTGTGTGTGTGTGTGTGTGTACAAGACAATTCTTTCAGAGTGGAACAAATTACCTAAGTTTTGAGTGCAGCATCTTCTCGTTGAATTGTTCTTGAATTCTTGTTGAATTTTCATTATTTTCATGATAGTCCACCTTTCTCACTGGGACTCAAGGTGGAATTCAAGTATGAGAGCAGGTAGCAGATTAAATAATGTGATAACTACATTTGAATGAGCAGCAAAGATTCTTAGTTAAGCAAAATAATACATTTGAGCTGGGATTATAGAGCTGAGTGGGGGGTGGGGTGGGGGGAGAACCGTGCAAGCAGACCTGTTTGTTTTAGGCAGCAAGACCATCAGTTCTCCCTAACAGACGTTGCCTCCTGAGCGGATCCACCACCACCACCCCACAGCTTTGCTCCCTCTACAAGAAGGCCCTCCTGCACAGTTCTGTTCTGCACATTTCACATGGGACTGATTTCACCTGTTTGTGAGGTGGCACCGTCAGAATGCTTTGCTCAGATATGAGTGGAGCTGCCACAGTGCAGCACAGCAGGAGAGTGTGAGTGTGTGGGCCTTGTGAGTGTGTGGGTCTGGTGTCTTTAAAGGATTTGTAGGTAACAACTAGTACCAGCTGCAGTTTCCAAGTTGTCTTTAAGGGCAGACCAATGTAGAGTGCATTGCAATAGTCTAGCCTTGAGGTAACCAGAGCATAGATCCACATGGCCAGGTGAGCGGACTCAAGATAAGGGCCATTTTCTGAGCAAGGTGGGGTTTTTAGAATGCCCTTTTTTGCAGTTTCTTCAGCAATCAAGCTGGATTGAGCAGTATCCCCAGGCTCTTAGCTGATCCCATCAAAATAGGGGAGCAGAAAGGCCTTCAGGACCTTATCCTTCCGAGCCAACATGGCTTCAGTCTTGACTCAGGGTCCAGTTTCAGTTTGTTTACCCTTAACCATTTAATACAGCAGTCAGACATTGGTTCAAAGTCTTGGCCATGTCACCAGGTGATCTGGATAAAGAAATGTAGAGCTCAGTGTCAACCGCTTATTAATAAAACCCTGTTCTGAAACAGCAAATGATTTTCCCCAGGGGCTTCACATAGAGACTGAGTAGCATGGTGGGCAGGACTGCGCCTTGTGGAACCCCACGTAGTAGGAAGAGCATTCAGGTGTGACGTCTGAGCCTCTGTCTTTCTCTCCTAGGCTCCGGCGTTTACATCACCCGAGGGCAGCTGATGAACTGTCACTTGTGTGCAGGTGTGAAACACAAAGTTCTCCTGCGGCGCCTTCTAGCAACATTCTTTGACAGGTCTGATGAAGTGCTTTTCTTTCTCATGTTCTGTCAGTCAGCCTGTGACGCCTGTGTTGTAAATAAATCAATTGCTAACGCATCTCTGGCTGGCAAAGCAGCGCCTTCTGGCCAGCAGGAGAGCAGAGCGTCTCCAATGGGACTCCCCTCCAGAGGGGCTCAGTGGAAGGTGGGCGTCAGCCAGGCTGCCGTTTCCTGGCCTCACTGATGCCAGTTTGGTTATGGTTTGCCCTGTTTCCAGAGGCAGCTCCACCCGCCTGTTTCCCGTGCTTCCCCCCTTGTCTGTTGGGAAACGTCTTAAGCAGCAGGGGTAGCCCCAGTATCCTTCTGCTCATCCCCACAATTGTTTTTTTTATTAGCAACGTCTCTTATCATTTTGAGCCTTTATCTAGGTCATGTAGAGAGGCACATATCGATCTCTTGCTTACAGGGTTCCACCTTACTCAGAATGCCAAGGATATGAGTGGGTTTTGCAAATGTGCTCCTGAGCTTTTGCCTCCTGCTTCTTCTTGGAACAGGAACACCCTGGCCAACAGCTGTGGGACAGGAATCCGGTCTTCTACCAGTGACCCCAGCAGGAAGCCCCTTGACAGCAGGGTGCTCAATGCTGTGAAACGTAAGTGGAAAGAAACTGATGAGTCACATTGAACTTCTGTTCTTCTTTTGGAAAATGCTTCATTTAAATATTTCTCCTAAACAGGCATTTAAGATTTTAAACCCTGTGTTTGGGGCTTGGTTCAGATTCCTTGAATGGTGCTTCTAAAGTCTCTTGACAGTATTGACTTGCCACAAAAACAGGAACAAAACTTGCCAGATTGAAGTGGAAAAGGATCTTCTAATATTTTGCAGACAGGTTTAGAAAACCTTGTAATTTTGTTTTAATTCTTTAACAAATTGGGGGGTTGGAATATGTAGTTAGTGCCATAGGGCAAAAAGGGATGTTATCACTGGCCTTTATATTTTTACTGACCAGTGTATGAGAGCGATTTAGCACCAAATTGTTAGAGTATTAGAATTAATTTATGTTAGGATAATTTAGGTTTGTTCGAGCCTATCTAGGACGACCACCACAGCAGAGAGAATTGCTACAGTACCCCTACATTGCCACTTACCAAACAGTCTGTTAGTGGTCTGTGGCTTAGCGAAGACCATTAGTGGCGACAGCTGGCCAAGGGATGCCAGTGCTCATGGGGCGGGGAAAGCATAGCGGTGGGACTAGGCATAAATGTGTAAGGGAAGGGGGCTGAGACACAGGAAGGCTTGGTCCCCTTCCAGCCTACGTCCCATCCCAAAGGTAGTTGGCAGTGGGGCTCAGATTGACAATCCCCTCCCTGTCATTGGTCTTGTGCAATGCCAGGTCCATAAATAATAAGACCATGGTCCTTCATGAACTGGCGTGTGTAACCGAGACCTGGGTGTGAGATGGGGAGACAGTGGCTCTCTCCCAGTTGGCTCCTCCCGGGTTCTCGGTCCTTCACCAATCGTGGACTAAGGGGCAGGAGTGGCCCTGTTCATTCAAGAGGCTTACTCCTTCAGGGCGCTCTCGCCACCAAGGAACACAGGCATTGAGTATGTCAGCCTGGCGTGGGAAGCCGGGAAGAGTTTGGCAATTTGGCTGGTGTACCGACCGCCTAATGCTCCGGCTGATAGCCTGCCGTCCCTGATGGAGGCCGTATCAGGCTGGGCACTGGAACACCCTAGACTGATAGTCCTGGGCGATTTCAATGTCCATGCGGATGACGCGACCTCCACTCAGGCAATGGACCTGGTGTCCTCCACTGGGACTCTCCCAATATGTAACGGCCCCCACTCACCGAGCTGGGCACACGCTCGATCTGATCTTTGCGGTGGGGGTAACAGTCAACCAGGTTACTGCTACGGCAGTCCCATGGTCGGACCGCAATGCCCTGGGGGCTCATCTGAATGTCCCGCCCCGACCCTGTTTAGGCGGCGAGCATATTTTAGCTCGCCCACTGAGCCAGATGGATCCAATGCGGCTTCAGATGGCTCTACGGGATCCGATGCCCCCTGGCGGCTCGCTGGATGAGCTTGTGGAGGACTGGCATGGCTGACTCTCTGCAGCCATCGACGAGATCGCTCCCCAGCACCCTCTGCGCCCTCGCTCTAGGCTTGCCCCCTGGTACACCCAGGAGTTGCGGCTTATGAAGCAAGAGCTACGATAGCTAGAGGGACAGTGGCGCTGTGCTCGTGACGAAGCTACAAGAACATCCTATAGGACGCTTATGAGATCCTATGAGATGGCAGTCAAAGCCACAAAGAGAGAGTACTTTGCGGCTACAATTGCGTCTGCGAGCTCACGCCCAGCCCAATTGTTTAGAACGATTCGGTCTATAACAACCCTGCCACAGGGCAGGCCAAATGCTAGGGAATTGGACATTGGCTGTGAGGCATTTGTGAGCTATTTTGCAGATAAAGTCTTGTCGCTCTGCAGCGACCTCCCCACCACAGTTGAAACTGTGAGTGAGCTCGAGGCCCCAAGCGCATCTTCAATGTCGGTTTTGGATTACTTCGACCCGCTCAGCCTGGAGGAAGCTCTTGACTGTACGCCCAACCACTTGCAGCCTGCATCCGTGCCCTTCCTGGCTTATTAAAGCTGGTCATGAAGGGTTGCGAGGCACCCTAAGAGATATTATCAACAAGTCCGTCTTGGAGGGGCTGTTCTCGAGGGCACTCAAGGAAGCGATGGTCCGCCCTCTCTTAAAAAAGCCATCTATGGACCCGGCCGAATTGGCAAACTATCAGCCAGTTTCCAACTTGCTAACTATTTGGGCGAGTTAATTGAGAGGGCGGTGGCGTTACAGTTACAGGGCTTCATGGATGACGCTTCCACGTTAGATCCCTTCCAGTCTGGCTTTCGCCTGGGACATGGGATGGAGACAGCACTGGTCGCTCTGACTGACGACCTCCAGAGGCATCTGGATCGGGGCGGTTCGGCGGTGCTGTTGCTGTTCAACCTGTCGGCTGCGTTCCACATGGTCGACCACCAGCTACTGCTTCACCGCCTCGCCGACATGGGAATTCAGGGGCTTGCCTGCCAGTGGCTTGCTTCCTTTCTCCAAGGTCGGGGACAAAGGGTCGCACTAGGGGAACAGCAGTCCAGGAGGCACCCGCTGGAGTGCGGTGTGCCTCAGGGGGTTGTGCTGTCCCCGATACGGTTCAATATCTATATGCGCCCCCTTGCCCAGATTGCCCGGAGGCATGGACTGGGGTGCCATCAGTACGCTGATGACATGCAGCTCTATCTGATGTTGGGCTGCCGGTCAGACTCTAGTCTGGAAGATCTGGACTGGGCATTACAAGCCATGGCTGGTTGGCTTAGACTGAGCCGTCTGAAGCCGAACCCGACGAAGACGGAGGTTCTGTATGTGAATCGGAGCAGGCTGGGAGGAGGGACCCGACTCCCGACCTTCGGTGAGTGCTCCTGGATTCCTCCTTAACAGTGGAGGCCCAGGTGGCAGCCACTGCCGGGTCGGCCTTTTACCATCTTCGGCTGATCAGGCAGTTGGTTCCCTTCCTCAGTCGCGACGACCTGGCCACGGTGATCCATGCGACGGTCACCTCGAGACTAGACTACTGTAACGCTCTCTACGTGCATGTATGGTCACCTATAGACCAATTATGTAAGCCGCCCTGAGCCCGATTGCGGTGTAGGGCGGGGTATAAATGGAATTAATTAACGATCAGACTGCCTCTTTCCCCCAAGCTCAAACTTCCAGTCCAAGAACTGAGCACTGAAGGTGAGGCTGCTGTTGCTGCTGAGCCGGCCCTCCTTGGTCCTGTCTGTGTTGTGGGGGGTCATGAGAAAGCTCCTGAGCAGACTGCACATCGGTGACAGCCACTGTGATATATGAGGGTCAAGCTAAAAAAATAAGTTGTTATAAAAATATAAACACAAGTTTGGTGTCGTGGTTAAGAGTGCCGACTCTGATCTGGGAGAACCAGCTTTGATTCCCCACTCCTCCTCCACCTGCAGCTGCTGACCTTGGGCCAGTCACAAGTTCTCTCAGAGCTGTTCTCTCAAGGGCAGTCCTCGAAAGAGCTCTCTCGGCCCCACCCACCTCACAGGGTGTCTGTCTGCTGTGGGGAGGGGGAGGGGAAGGGGATTGTCAGCCACTCTGAGACTCCTCCTTCGGGCGGTGAAGGGCGGGGGGGGTATAAATCCAGTCTCCTCTCCTCTCCTCCAAATGAGTAAAATATAAAGTAGGTTAAAAGAAATGATCCAAATATCAGACTCTTAAAACTTTTGACTTACAGAGCTATTAGTTTCACATATACAGTCTTATGACCAGTAGACAAGAAGTGTTCCGGCCCCTTCCTCAGTGGTCAGTATTACTATTGTAAAACCACACACATCCAGAAATAGGTATAGGGGGGAAAGTTTTTCTGTAGAGCCAGGTGTTGCTTTCTGCTAAACGTCTGCACAGGAGGCCCTGGATAATCCCTCGTGGTGGCTGCACAGGCTCTCCAAACTGTTCTGGTAAGAAGCCCTCTCCGTGTCTCGAACGGGAAATGACAAATCGGGGTGCACAACTCCAGGCACTCGGGTGGGACATAGATGGGCCTCGGCTAGAGTTACGTGGGTCACATTATGATGGCATCTGGCTCCATCAGACCCCATGACGTGTACTGCTGGGGGAGGGGGGGCAGAATACCACCTCTCAGCTGTTTCACACACACACACACACCCCCGCACGGAGTCGGTGAGTGTGGCGCAGCGGCTAGCGTGTCGGACTAGGGTCTGGGAGACCCAGGTTCACATCCCTGTTTGGCCATTGAAAGCTTGCTGGGTGACCTTGGGCCAGTCACATGCTTTCAACCTAACCTACCTTACAGGGTTGTTGTGATGATAATATGGAGGAGAGGAGAGCAATATAAGCTGGTCTGGGTCCCCATCAGGGAGAAAGGCAGAAAAAATCCCAGTGAGTGTTTCCAAATCCCCGTGGTTGCAAAGAGAATTGAAGAAAGTTCTCCGTTGCTTCCCGGATACTTGCAATTGAAAAGAACCCTTGGGTGGCAGGGGTGAAGTTGCCTGTCAGCTGAGTGTCTGAATCCCACCCCCACCCCCACCAGATGCCTTGCTGCATCCCCCTTGGACACTGCCAAAAGTTGGAGGGGGCCATTCGGAAAACCACCTCTCAGCTGACAGACAACGTTCTGACCCCTCCCCCAGAAACTCTGGCATGCAGGGGAAACGGGGGCCAGAATGCCAACGGTTCCGATCCATCCCTCGAGTGTGTGGGAAGCCCCCCCCCCCCATTTTCCAGAGCAGGAACGCAGTGCAGAGTTTCTTTCACGGAGGAGGGGCAGAACAAGCACTCTGATCCTCTCACCCCAGGGTGTGGCATCCTTCCTCGGGGAGGGGGGCAGAATGCGGGCTTGCAGCTGAGGCTGAAATGGCATAAACGAAGAATCAGTCAAATTGGCCATAGGAGCTGAGTGCTGAGCTGAATTGCTCCAGGCAGACTCCTGATGTGTTGAAATGGTGTTTGGCTTCTAAATATGTTGGGTGGGACATCTGACCTGTACTGGATCCTTCTATTCTATATGTCTGCTGTGAGGATGGGTGCAATTCAAGCTGTTGGGTTCAATACAGAAAGCATTCCACCTTTTTAAATAACTTGTAATGAATCCAGTAGCCACATCGTGCTCCCGGGAGGCCTTCAGTTGGCTGACAGTACTCAGGGCAGTGGTCCATTTTGGATGTTACAACAAGGCCTTTATGCAGTCAACTTCTTCGGGTATAGCTGAGAAATGGTATAAGAAAACATTATTTGGTTGCATGGATGACCACACTCATTGATACCTTCATTGGTCTTGGCTAAAAACACATCCCTCTCTTTGCAGTGTATTGTCAGAATTTTGCTCCAAGCTTCAAGGAAAGTGAAATGAACGTCATTGCAGCTGACATGTGCACAAATGCCCGGCGAGTACGCAAGCGTTGGCTTCCAAAGATAAAGTCCATGTTGCCAGAGGGAATGGAGATGTATCGCTCCGTCATGGGTTCCACCACCAACAGTGTCCCTTTAGACCCTGAATTCCAGCCCTCTGCCACTCAAACGTTTGAACAACGTATCTTTGCAGAGAGGAGGAGTGATTCTGGAACAATCATGGCACTGAGAACTAGCACTGCAACTGTAGATCAAAGCAACGGATCTGGCCAATTGTTTGAGCCAAGTGATGATGCTGAAGGGGCCAGCTCTGTCATACAGGAGTCAGCTGTCCCAGAGTCAATGGCTTCAGATAGCCAAAGCACCGCACAGCCTTTTGATCAAGGTTCTGGTTCCACCAGCCGGCCAGAAACTCCTGTGAGACGGCAGGAAGGTACATATGGAGGGACTTTATGAATGAGACCTTGAGAGATCTATAATAATAAAGCTGCTTGCATGCATTATTAATACAAAAATGTGATCCAACCTTTTACCTACTGAACCGCTACTGTTGCCTGAAAAAAATGTGATTTTTAAAAATTCTGCTCATGTTTAAGATTTATGAAGGAAGTATCACATTTGTTACACTGTAAGCAACTCTAGGTCTAAGGCAACCTGCGTATGGTGAACAAAGCAAATAACCCTCAGCTCCTTTGTTTTCTTGACGTTCGTCTAGAGATTGTAGCATTTAATTTCCACCAAGGCAGGGGATATCCCGCCTCCACAACCATCCCCACCCTTAGCGACTCATCGCCCCCACTCCCTGCCGATGCTGCATTTCCACCGGGGGACACGGGCACAGCCGGCCGGCCTCATCCGCTGTGCGAAGGGGGACTTGAGGGAGAAAAGGCACACGCAGGTGAGAGGGCAGACCCTGGACACCCCTCCGTGCGGCTAGGAACCAAGGTCAGGGGTTCTTCTAGTGTCAGATGTTGAAGGGGGGTGTTATATGATTTCATTGCCTTTTGTTTTACTTGTGGCCAGGGAATAATTTATCAGGCACACTTTTTTAGAAATATAACCTGTGCGAGGACCATTGACCTGAACGCCCAGGTGTTTGTGATGTCTGGGGGGGGAGGCATGTCTCCTTTTATTCCCCTCATTTTGGCAAGTGGCTTTCCCCCTGGATGCTCTGGCCCTCTTCCGCTGGCAGAGTGTTTGAACCCGGCTGTGCCGTTCCCAGATGCATCACCTCCTCCTGCTCCCTTTCTTCGTTTCCTTGCTTCCCCCTTAGCCAGGAGCCCGGCTTGCTCAGCACGGCGTTGCCTGTCTCCCTGGGCTCTCGTCAGTGAAATGCATCCAAAGTTTTTGAAAGAAGAATTCAGGATGACTTCTGTGCATATGAAGTCTTCTTGCATAGAATTGCTTGTGGAATTACTCATCTTAAGGCAGCCCTCTCAGGCAGAGGTTGTTCAGGACCCATCAAAACTGCCATTTTCTCCTGAGGAACTAACAAGAATTATGTTTATTTTCTCCTAGGAGAAAAAAATGTTACATTAGGCCCAGCCTTTAGATACTGGGGCAGTATGCCTGTTTATCTCTGAATGTTTTAAAGCAGATTTAAAGTAAAGCTGAATACATGAGAAGTCAGTTTGCTTTTCCTTTGGTTGAAGCAGAAGACGTCCCCCATGGCTGGTGACTGAGATTATTTGGGTGAAGAAAACCTTCTGATATCAGTCCTAGGAACAGGTTGTTAGAAAACTTGCCTGGCCGAAGAAGGCGTGTGTGGGAGATGCACTAGAGCAGGCACGGTTTGACCGTTTTGGAGCTGGGAGGGAGAAGCTCCAGCTCTTAACAAAGCATGGAGGCGGGAGTGTCCAGCCGGATTGACACAGGGAAACACATTGTCAGGGGAAATCTCATTTGTCATTCTGGTTTACAGAATAGCTGATCTGAGGAATCACTGAGATTTTGAAAACCCACCAAGAGGAGGCAGTTGGCTGAGAGCGGATGGAGCAAAGGCCTTTCTGTTGACCTTCTACCCTCAGTGCCTCCGTGTCTTCCATACTCTCGTGGCCTTGGGGGCAATGATGGTGGACCCCAGGCTTCGCTCTCACACACCACAAAGCCTGTTTCTGGAAAAGCCACGTGTAAAGCAGGTGTTGGAACTCCGTGTTTGGGCTGAAGTGCCGCTGGTGGGCATGCAAGGGGTTGTTGTGAGCAAGTCTTGTGAGCAAAAAGTCTACTTTGTGAGCTCCTGGCATTTAAGCTGTGAGGGAGCCATTTGGCTACTGCATAAATTAGCTTGCTCTGGAGCCATCCTTCCTAAGACAAAAATGCATGAGCTGGAGGCTGAAAAACTGTGAGCTAGCTCACACTAACTCAGCTTAGAGGGAACACTGGTTGTGAGCCTCCGGAATCAGGACGGTCTTCTTTTCTTTGCTGTTTTTGGAGATGCCTGTAGTTAGCAGCCTAATTCCTAATCAGATCAGAGGAACTCTGCTATGCAGTAAAACTTCTTTGGGAGCTTTTTCCAGACCTTCCAATGCACAGGTATATAAGTGTGTTATTGGTCTAGCATGTGCATTGTGGCTGCCTTACAGACTCTGGATTTCTGTTTCTAAGGCTATAATTCCCAGGTTATTTACAGAGGTATTTAAACTAGGGTTGCTGCCAACCAGCAACCAACCAGAACAACCCAACATAGTTTTCTTGGTAGTTGCTACCAAGGGGCAAGGAGGGTATTTCTCTCTTTGCCAGTTTTTTTTAGCTTTATGCCTTAGATGAACAGACAGCTTTGCTCTGGGCTTCCCCCCCAGACATCTGGCTCCATTCCCAGATCTGCCCAGAGCTCTGCTGCCTGAGCATCAGAACACTGGCTTCACAGGGCAACAGGTCTAATCCAGGCACCTGCCATGTGTGTGAGATGCGGAGGGTTTCCCCTATTCCCTATCTAGAGCTTGGCCAGGGAACCAGCAGGCAAAGGCAGCACTAAAGAAAGATTTCGTGGAGAAGGAAGGGCTTCTGCCTGCTCCTCCGGAAAAGATTTCCGTAGTCAGAATTAAGGAGGTCATGCATGTGCTGTTCACTTGTTCAGCGATTGTGGGGACAGGCAAAGAAGGGAACTGAACTGATGGGTGCAGGAGTTGTGCTTTGTTTGGAGTGCTTTTCAAATGTAGGGCTTTTGGAAGGCTTTTGGAAGGTTTGGTGATTCCTGCTTGAGGTCCAATGATGCCATGTTTAATATAAATCTCTGAATAGGAGCAAGAAATACACCAGAGAGAAAATATGTGGGATTTTGCTTTTAGCATCTGTCTTCGTAGGCAGCTAGCTCCCTAGGGTTCCTTGGCATAAAAATGCTGAGGTGTCAGAGGCAATCCGGGCCTTCACCATTTTTTAAAAAGCAATACTTGGAACTTCCTTCTCACTCATTCCCTGCACCGCGAGTGAAACAGTCAGACTGGCACCTGTTCCATCCTCAGAAGGACAACTTTAGGCATCTTCTAATGAAGACAGATGGGCCCTTGAAGCCTTCCGTAGGGGAAGGGGCAAGGGGTGGGACTCTGCTCGGAGAAGCACGAAGGACCACACGCAGCTCCCCATGAGGTGGCCTCCAGACTGGGATAGTCTTCATGGCACAGAGTGGAGTTTCTGCTAACGGCCTCTGAAGTTAGACTTCTTCCCCACATTTGAAGTAGCTCTCCACTTTCCACTTCAGCTCTGATTCTGTTAGCCTCTCCATGCTTGTCATTTGATTGTCTCCTCCTCTGAAGACTGGCTTTTTTTAATGTACACACCCAGATAATCAAGGCCACATACAAATGATAGTCCTCAAGTCCACGGTGCCCTGTTCTGTGCCAACACTTCGACTGAAGTGTTAAATTTCAGGTATGCCCACCTGCAGCCAGAGGTTGTGGAAATCACGACCACTCTTGGCAGCTAAGGAAGCCCTTTTGTGGCTTTGTATTTTCCTCACATTCTTATGATTATGCTCAACTGGATGGGTCAGCTCTTTGTCTGAGAGAACAGCAAAATGGAGCATGGCTTGCCTTGCTGTTGTTTCCTCTTGGAGCTTGGCCTTTTCTGAAATTGGTGATGGGATTATTTTCTTGAACTACACCCAAAGCAATTGTAGTTCTAAGTGCACTTGCTGAACAGGAGGCCCTGGAGGGAAAATAATTAGCAGGAAGAAAAGGAATACTTGAATGGCTTAGGAATGAACACCTGAATGACAGTGTCATGTTGCACAGTTAAAATATATTTTTATACAGAGCGCAGTATCACGTACCTTTTTGTTTTGGGGTGGGTCTTTAGTTGTTGTTCATTTTGTTCTACTTTCTGATTAGAAAATCAAGAGCTGTAGGTAAACTTGAAAATGTGAATGGCTTGTTTGGAGGAGGGGGGGTGAGGACTAGCGTTTGCACTAAAACTGTTCTGTGTGTGGAGGATTAATGACCGATTTCAGAGATAGCTGTGGAACATGATTGTATCCTTCCAAATGGGAGGGAAGGTTGTTAAAATAAACCCTTGGAAATAAAGAATGTAATGTTAACATGAAGCCCATAATGGTCAGGCTTTCCTGAGTGCCTTAGCCTTTTGAGAGTGCTGGTTTTCCTTGGGGGGGGGGACTGATTAAAGAATATCCAATGATCAGAAGGAACTCCTCTCCCCCTTTTGCCCCCTCCTGCTTCCCCTCCTTTGTTTACAATACTGTGAGAAATATCACTAGAGTTTGGGAGCTGCTTTCTGAGTAATAATACATAATGTGAAATGGCATTCCTCTAGACCTAACATAGATGTAACCAGAAGCATAACGTATGTATGGTATGTCTGCACCTTTATTCTTAATGCTTGACTATTAGCAATATTACATGTGTATATTATATATATCTTATAGTAATATCAAGCACCTTCTAAAAGAGATAATATTATAAGACAAATCTTGAATGGGCTTAGGAGTTGCTACACCATAGTATAGAATTGACACACACCCCTCCCTTTTCGGAATGGAAGCGCCCCCACTTGTTGTGGCCATTGCTTTGTAGGGTAGCATGGCTTTTGAAGGCCGCTGTATCTATTCCATGGTCAGTACTGTGCAATTCCAGGGTTATTCCCTCCAAACCAAAATATGGAGCACAAAACAATTCCAGAAATGTAATCTCACTGCAACGATTCAATAATGTAAGCCATACTCTTGTCATCTTTTTCTGCTGGAGATCCTTTGGCAGTTCCTTTGCCAGCTTGTTTCTTCTTGCCTGGACTGAAGTTACTCATAATTATTGAGGGGATCTGAGTGAAGAAAACTGCAGCTCCCTCTGCAATGTCTCTGGAGGTCCCTCCTGCTGCTGTGCCAGGCTCTGACTGGAAGTCCAGTTGAGACTGTGGTTTTGTCCACCAGAAAACTGTGGTGCACCTGTCATGCCTTTGACTTCCCAGAAATGTCCTTTGCACAAACGCAGCATTTTGATTTCTCTCCCTCTTATTTTAATTGTATGTTATAAAACATCCTGCCTAGAAATTGATTTTATAGTCAGATATTGATAGGGGTGTTACTCTTACCTGCCTCAAGTTGTCATTCTTGTTCATCGTGTCCTTTCCTGAAGCTTCCCTGGCAGCCCCGCAAGGGAATGTGGGTTCACAGCTCTTTCTTGCACTTCTTCCCTGCTGTGGAGCTGTACTTTTAACTTGGGAAGCAGAGGCATGAACGCCTTTTTGATGCAACATTAAAAAAAATAACACTCAGCAATGCAAAACTGGGAATTAATCCCTACTTAGTACTCCTTGAAAGGGCCACAGCCATCTGAGCCTATGGACCCTCTGCAAAAGACAGGTGCTTTCCCACACAGTTTACTAGAGGCTGCCTCATTTGAAAATCTCTTTGTCTGCAAATGGCTGTTCGAGTTCTGCTTGTCTGAAGTACCCAGTTTAAATGGCAGACGGGCGTTCCAGAGCTGCCTTGGGCTACAGGTGCATTTTGTTGCAGCCTTATATGGTGCCATTTCCAGCTTGCTTGCCAATTATA